TCCTTGACCTTGGTCATCTCGGCATTCACATTGCGACCCAGCATGGCCAGGCACGCCGCCTTCCAGCCCAGCACCGGCCGCAACAGCCCCCGCGGCTTCACGGCGCGACCCGCCGCATCGCAGGCCGCCACTGCGTCAGCCCAGCGCCGGGCACCCGCCAGCGCCTCCACGTACAAGCAGTTGAGGCGGACCTGGGGCCGGGGTAGGGGGGGGGGGGGGGGTTGCAGACGGGAGGGAACGAAGTGAGTGGTGCGTGTGTGCGTGTGTGTGTGGGGGGAGGGCGGGGGCAATGCGTGTGTATGGGTGTCTGTGCGTGTGTGCGTGTGTATGGGCCGGCCGTCGGGAGGTTCAGATGTGGCAATGGGTGGCAACGGAGCCATTTCCCCTCACTACAACCCGGCCACAAGGTTTTGCCGCCGACCACTTAGGTAACCCCCCTCACCTGAAACGCCTTGTCGGGTGCCCCCACCCTGTTTAGCGCCTCCACCGCCACCTTCAGTGGCCGGATGAGTGCCGCACGCAGCAGGGGCTTGCTGGTGAAGGGAAGAGCTGCGTTCCAAAACACTCGGCAAGCGCTCTCACACAGGTCGGACTGAGGTACGTGTGTAGGTGGAGAGTGGGCCGGGGGAAAGGTGGGTAGGTGGGGGTTTAGGCGGGATGGGGTATGCTTTAAAAAACGTGAGGAGGGAGGATATATGTGGACGGGGTTTCGAGGGCACGAAAGGCAGTGGTTGAAGAGCTTTAGAGGGCTGTCCTCTTAACACAAAATATATATATACACACACTCCTCCCCCCCACAACGAAGTTGGTTTTACTGTGACATTGACAAATCCCTGGAAGATTACAAGCTCGATCCCCGCAAAGAGCGAGATACGATTCGATCGGCCGTTAGAGAGTGGAAGCTCTTTCATACTGATGGACATACATCTAGGGCATACTGATGGACCCGTCTGTAACGATCAGGGGTGGAGTGTATACTGCCGTATTACCGGCGTGTTCCCACTGGATGCCGGTGGTGGGTGCTGAACCCGAATAGGTCACTGAGTTTGCAGAAGTTGGCATGGGTTATACGGGTGAGGGAGCCCCAAATCATCGGGGCAGGTAAGGGACTGCCAGTCTAGTGGCCGCGGGTGAAGATGGACCCTCAGACATCACACACAGCCTCCGCCGCCCACCTCCCCCCTAACCCCCCTGGACAACTCCGCGGGAGGACCTTAGGGTTTTCGCCAGTAGACCTTATCCGGGTCCTTACCCCCCCGAACCCCGACGTCC